CCATTAAGCTCACCTACACCTGGCTCCATCTCACCTAGTCCACCTTACAGCCTTCTCCCCAAGCACCATCAGCACTCCTCCTGCTTGTCTTCTCATGTCCTACATTCATTTAATTTTATGTCTTTGCTTAAAATGATAATTTGAAGAGACACTTGCTATCTGTATTCCATCGGAGTCTATATCTCCTTCCAGACTCCCCAGTGCAGACTTCCCTGATTGCACTTCCCTGCCCAGCACTCTGCTGCCCCCACAACCCCATCACTCATGCTGGGGATACAGGGGACTGTGAGGACCAGATAAGTTAATGAATAAAAGCTTTAGTGTCCAAATCTGTCTCATCAGGTCCGAGGGTCATGTAAAGATATAAAAATAAAATACAGAGCGAAAGGATCTGTGACTTGGTGGGCAGAGAAATGGAAAGCAAGGTGAGAGTCCTCTGGGATTGTAAACTCTGTGCAGTAGGGGATCTGCCTGTCTTGTTTACCGCTGTAACCCAGCACCTTAAGAATCCCTGGTTGTAGGCACTCCATATTTATTCATTGGATGAATAAAGGTCTTGAATGATTACCACATCAGGGTTGGCATTGGTGTGTCCTATGGTYTTAGGTAAGATGACTAGTAGACAATTCATAGCCAGTATATTGAAAGGGACAAGGATATCTCCTCAGGCCAAGGAAAGCGATTTTGTCCCACCCTGAATTTACCTGGTATCTTAGATTGCTCCATGTGGGCTTGTCTCACTCACCACTGAGCTTGTCAGCCTCTCATCTTTTCCTAGAACAGAACTGAGAATGTGTCTGGGACTCAACAAACACTAATTAGCTCTGGTTGAGTTGAGCTAAGTTTCCCTGGGTGATTCTTACAGTTTGTAATGAGTTAGAAAGTTCTCCTCCTGTAGTTAAAAAATATTGCTTCCATGACCTTCTATATTTGTTCAAAAAAACATCCATTCACTGAGTAAAAAAGAATAAGAATTCTATGCTTGCAGCCAGATTCATAAGCTTGGTAATTATGACTGAATTATATTATAGTTCATCGCATCTTAGAATTTAGAGTGAATCTGTCGCCTCTTGAAGTTGATTTTCCACGACATGCTCCATCTTGCTTCCTTTCCTAAAAGAACATGCAAAGATGACTCCTAACAGCTTCGCAGGCAGCAAGTCATCAAGCTGTCGTGTGATTTCATGTTACCCTCCAGGTTGCCAAGATTAAATACAGATTTTTTCAAAAGTAATTCAGTGATTATTCCAAGAAGATAAGTTTTATCTAGATATAATCAGCTACTAATGTAACTTGGTTTTTTTTCCTTTGACATATAAAAATCAGGCAGAATCATTCCAAACATAATTTGTTGCCACCGCCTTGACAGAGGTTTAGATTTGATTTTGTAAACTGAAAGATAGCTGACCTAATTACACTTGAGCCTGGATGTAAGGGTTTCTCAACCTTGGCATTACTGACATTTTGGCCCCGATAACTTTGTTATGAGGGCTGTCCTATCCTGTATGATGTTTAACAAATCCTTGGCCTCTACCCACTAGATGCTAGTAATACCTTCCATGCTCATCATGGGAACCAAAAATGTCTCTTGACACTGCCAAAAATTATTCTGAGGAGGGGCAAAATTGACCTGGTTGAAAACTCCTGATCCTAAACATTGTCAGGTCCATGGGGGTAGTACCTTGCTTTCAAAAGGTTTAACTCTCCAGAAACTTTCCAGTTGCATCATATTAGGGTTACAGTAGATTGGGTAGCATTTTCCCCTGTTTTTTTTCTTTTAACCACTGTATTTATATTTTGTGCTTTATTCCCTTTCTAATACTGGACCTGTATTAACTTGTGAGCTCCCTAAGCACAGCTGTGCTTTATCTTGCTTTGAATGTCTTCACAGAAGTAAGCATGGTGTTTTGTCTGCTGTAAGTACTTAACATRTACTGACAAATCCCATAGAAAATTCAACTGGAAGAAATTCATGCCTGCATTCAACTAGCAGAATGTAAATACCATTAGGGCATATTTTTTGTGTGTCTGCATATTTTATTCACTACTGTATCCCCAGCACCTAGAAAACTACCTGAATATAGGAGGTGCTCAATGAGTATTTGGTAAATGAATTAGATCATGTTATGGATCTGGAGTGTCCCCCAAAGGCTCTTGTGTTGAAGGTTTGGCATGGACAACTAAAGTCTATTTCTTTAAGTAATCCAATAAGAGATAGCAAAACCTAGATGACATTTGGGAAGATTGTGCATCCCATACTCAGAYAATGAAGAACCAGGGAAAGGACCTTGTGTTCTAGGGAATGAAATGCTGATTATAACTGCTCTGGATTGTGCCTGCTCACCCAGACATTCAATCTTGCAAGATTGTCTTTCAAAAGTCTTTTTATTATAACTTGTGTTTCTGAGCCCAATCTTTGGCTTTGGGCAGGTGAGTGTGTTTCTCAGGCTGGCAATCATGATCTGAGCTGCTTCCTTTGCTATGCCCTTCAGCCATGATGCTTTGCTTCACCTCACACCCAAAGCAATGAAGGTAGATAATCATGGACTGGAACCTCTGAAACTGGAGCCAAGATAAACTTTTCCTTCTTTCAGTTGTTTATGTCAAGTATTCTTGGTCACAGTAATGAAAAAACATATTGYTTTCTAAAAATAATGTTTAATGAGTTTCCATCCCATTTCCTAAAGGATAATATTTAGAATCCTTGGCTGGGGTTCAAAGTTCTCTTTATTCTGCATTTTCCAATCTTCATCCTTGCTTCCTTGATACACAGTCCTACCTCTTTGACCCAAGCTCATCTACTGCTATTTACTCAAATGACCATGAATGTTTTTGTCAATGCACAAGAGCTAACTTCATTTTCACTGTTTAAATGTTCTTTCAAGCTCTTCATCAAGTCAAGTAAATACAATACACACTGCAAAGGTCAGTATACTTCATTTCTTTTAGGGAACATTTTCTGACACAAACCCACAAGGACCTTTCCTAATGTAAAATCTGACACTTTCTGATCTACACCTCTCCATGGATGTTTTAATTTTATAAGGTATGCCACCTTTCACTGTACTACAAACAAATATGCAAAATAAACAGAGTCCCTGTCTTTATGATGGCAGAGGAAAAAAGTGGTATATAATGTGATAAGGACTACCTTATCAGAAGACTTCGGTGAATCTTGACTCTGTTGAATAGGTATTGAACATATATGTTCCCAAAGTCTTAATGTTCATATCTGAAAATTGGGAAAGAATGATCGCTCTTTCCATTGTTCATAAGAGTGAAAAATCAAACAACATTGCATTTAATGTGCAAACATTTCAAGTGACACCAAATCACCATTTAATTTGTCCTCAAACCCTTTAATACTCCTTCAAGACAGGAAACCCAAATCTCCTCTACTGATTAGAGGCTGGACTTGGTGACTTTCTTATAATGAACAAAATAAGACAAAAATGATGGGAGACTAAGTCAAAGAAAGGCACCATAACTTAGTCTTTGTCTTAGTCACTCGGTTTCTTGAATTACTTGATCTTGGGGAAATCAGCTGCCTTACAGGATATAGTTCTAGGGAGAGGCCCCTGTGGTGAAGACAATATGCTAAAGCAAAGCTTTGGCTCCATCAATTTCCTAAGATGACTGATGTCCCAGCAAACAGCTTGATGATACCTCAGAAAGGATCCTGATTTAGTTTTATCCAGCTAAGCTACTCCTGGGTTCTTTTGGTACTGGGGATTGAATGCAGAGGTACTTAACCACTGAGCCACACCCTCAGCCCATTTTTTTAATATTTTATTTAGAGACAGGGACTTGCTGAGGACTTGCTTGGGTAAGTTGCTGAGGCTGGTTTCAAACACACAATCCTCCTGCCTCAGCCTCCCAAACTGCAGGGATTACAGGCGAGTGTCACAGCACCCAGCTACTTCTGGGTTCTTGAACTCCAGAAACCATGTGAGACATGTTTTATAATTTAGTAAGTTTCACGTAGCAATGGATAGCTATTCAGGATACTGTAGAGATTTAAGGTATCATTAAATATGCTAATATGTGCCGAATGAAGAATGCCATAATCTATTACAATTTATCACTAAATGATGAGCTGGAAAAGAGAATATTCAAAAATTAAAAGGAAGGAGGAGAAGGGGGAAGAAAAAAATTAAAATTATAAAACAGTAAGAACAAGAAATAATCCTCTAGACCTAAAGCAGCATCCCTCACCTGCTATCTACATCATTTTCTGAGCGGTTTCTTCCTCTCACAGTGACTGCAGGCTAGATGCAAAAGGCTACTGGCTAAAGGAATTGTTCATTCCTACAGTCGACATGGCTTTTATTTTGTCCCATTTTCAGCTAAAATTGATAGTTTTAATTAAATAAGAAATGAAAGCCATATATTCTCTCTCTATAGAATACAGCTTCTTCTTTTTTTGTGTTGGAGAAAGTCACCATGGTTCTTTGTTAAGCACAAGGGCCTTGGACATGGGAATTTATGATTTGTTTGCATCAATGCCAACCTTTGGGAGTCACTGTCATTCCTTTGCCATAGCAACACAGACCCAGTGGCCTATATCATTAATGATACCACAGATGGGACAGCTGAATCCATGGTCTTCACCAGTCAGCTTGGGAAATTAATTTGAACCCAAACAAATTTAAATTTAAAATGGGGCCACCATTTGTGACCATTTTTTTTAACTCCCCAGTGAGAACACAGTTGTGGAGAAGGACTGTCAATTTATTAACCTGTTTAGCAATAAACACTGAATTTAAATTCTTCACTGAATATTTATTGGTCCTGGTTTTTCAAAGACTCCAAGTGAAGGACTTTGCAAACTGTTAACTCTTCAAAGCCTTGAGAATGGTACTTAATATGTTTATCTAAAAAGTCATAGCAGAAAAGGGCATGAATCTTGCATTTTTACTGAATTCTTTTTTCTTTAACCATCTTCTTGATTAACTGTTTAATAGCTCATGGAAAGTAAAGCAGCATGAACACATTCTTACTGGTAGGAGATACACTGTTGGCTGGAGATGGCGGGGTGCTCAGGGGAGAGTCTGTGACACTGGGTGGAGGCTCCGTGGTTGGGGCATTCACAGAACCTGTAAGGATCAGACATTCAAAATGAACAAAATATTATAACAGTTGCTAAGAATATTTACCTTTATTTGTTCATCACCTAACAAGTCAATCTGAAGAGCAGGTTATGGGCAAGGCAGATAGATGTGACAGGGAATAAGAAAGGCACAGGACAGTCCTTAAAGAGAGTACAGCCTAGAGAAGAGGTGGCCAACTCTGTGTTGAGTGCCGTGACAGTGCAGGGACAACGTGCCAAGGGAATGCAGTGCAAGACACTCATCAAGAAAGAGAGGTCTGGGAAAGCTTCCTAGAGAAAGGGACGTTCAACCAAGACATGAGAAAACAATTAATATTTTGAAATATTTTAATATTTTGTAAACCCAGAGTTTATAAAATCCATAGACTCACAATTTTTTTAACCAGTAGTACAAATAATGATACTTAATTGGATGTAGCATCAGTGAATTTAAGATGTATGGTATTATTTTGCTCTTTCTAAAATTATAGCTTGTGTCATAACATTTTTGACTACAACTTTTTTCTCTCTCTCTSTGTGTATGTGTGTGTGTATAAATACAGGCTAGTATATGTTGTTTCACTTATATTTTACCTTCATTTAAATTCTTTCACCTTCCATTGTCCTTACTTGAGGTATGAAATAATTTGCAAATGCTGGGAGGATCTGTTGACTTCAGGAACATATARATTAAAAGCAGCTAGATAAGTTTTGAGGCTGGAGGATTTTCGTTATTTTTCTGGAACAATATCATTGGATATATGGTCACACCTGATGAGTTATGCCAATTTTCTGGATATTTAGTTACATAGTATACAATTGGTTCTATCCTGCAATTTGCTCTAAGGGTCAGTGTATATATATATATATTTTTTTTATTTACATGCATCTATGTTTTGTTCTTATGATTCTTAGTGTTTTTATTACTGTAGGCTATGGGCAGGGCTCACAGTTGGCTCTGACAGTTACTAGTAAGTTTATGCTATTAATCTGAGGAGGCAGGGTTACATGTAGAGTGTATTAGGTTAACAAAATGAGCATACTCTTTCTCTATGCTATCCAAAATAAGTTGGAACTTTGAGCATGCCATCTTGGGTAAATTGTTGAGGCTGGTTTCAAACCTTTATCATAATTTGGTTCCTCTTTACACTCCCAACATTATTTCCTGACATCAACTTTTACCTATTCTCTCTTAAATCACACGTGGTTTCCAACAGGCAAATATTTCAACCTAGTTTCTCCAACACAAGACCCTCTTTCTTGTTTTTGTTCATGCTGTTTCCTGATATTTTTCTTTTACTTCCAAACTTCCCTGAATGTACCTCCTCAAATCCCGGGAAGCCCTCATCACTCTGTTTCATTGGTATGCCCCTCAAGAGAAATAATTGTTTTGTTCCTCACTGTGTTTATGGWTCCTGGCAAATGCAAGTGATAATACATATAAATACATTCTTAACACTGGAAGACAAAAGACCAGTTTTAAGTTGTATCTGACTGCTGATAGACCATAAACACCATCTTCCAAAAATAATATCTTAATAAGATGGAGCATGGGTCTGGAAATAAATACCTCAATGTTTTTCACTGTAGATTGGTTGGAGCAGAGGTTGGTAAACGATGCCCACAGTCAATTCTGCCACTGACTTTGTTTGTAAACAAAGTTTTATGGGAACACAGTGGTGTCTTTTGGTTTACATGTTGTCTACATCTGCTTCTGTGCTATAGTGACAGAGTTCAGTAGTGATGATGGAGACCACAAACCTAATGTATTTACTATCTGACAGAATGTTGGCTCCCCGAATGGAAAGTGTTGATACGTTATGCCCAATCCCAGACTTCCACAATGGGAAGCATTTATGTTTCATTGCTGGAAGWTTTCTGTTTTAGGACACTATTCTGCTGTATTTGATTACTAAGTCTTTGAAAGCTGAGGGGTTCAGGCTCTCTCTACATTAGGAAGACATTAGTACAAGATTTGCATTTTGAGAAGAACTCTTTGCCCTGGGACAAAGATGGTGCATAGCTTTCAAGATGAAACCMGAGGCCAAAAAACTTCTCTCTGGTTTCAGATTGGACTGTGAAGTAGAATCTCTGCTATGGTCAAAACAATAATTCAGAGGGTGGAAAAGGAATAATTACAACCTACCAGGGGAAGTGACTTTCCAAAACTCAAGTGCAGAATTTAGCAGAAACACCTCACCCAGCTTTCAGATCATCTCATTTATCACAGTACTGGTACTGAGCTGCTGGCCTAAAGCAACCTGATCTTTTTTTCTGAGTGGTCTACCCTGGAAAARGTCAGGCATGGCTCTCAGAATCATTTTGTGGATGTCCCACAGGGCAGATGGGCTGATTCTGGGRCAATACTAGGTGGCTTATCTGGTCCAACTAGAAATAAATCAAACTCCAGGGCTTGCTAGATCCTTTTGCTTAAAATGTTGAATGGGCTTCTCTTAGGCTCTTGTTKGAAAAGTAGAATTTCATCTGCTACCCAGACCTACTGATTCAGAACCCGAATTTTAACAAGATCCCTGGTGATTTATACATATACTGAAATTCTCTATTGATACTCTCAGGACCCCAGGTTCAGTGTTGGGTATAAGAATGGCTGCAAACTGGGGAGTCAGAAAACAAGAATATCTGGCAACTTCCATCTTGATATTCAGTGTTCCTCTCATCCCACTATGGAGCTATTCCTTTTCACTCCAAATACATCAATATTCCACACTCCAAAATACACACACACAGTTATACACACACACATACACACACACACAGTTGTCCACCCTCAACTCTCTATTTCAAAGGTCTTGATTTCAATTGGAAATCATTTAATAGACAAATCTCTATCAAAGTTGATGACAGCCAGGATATTAACAACCCCAGGGGGAATTTGTGCTTCACTTTTGAATTAAAACAAAACAAAATCTCTGCCCTTCACTTTGCTACCCCCCCAAAAAACTATTTTTTGTGTGTGTGTGTGTGTGGTACTAGGTATTAAAACCAGTATCTTCTGCATGCTAGGCAAACGCTCTACCATTAAGCCATAATCCCAGCCTTTTATAATTTTATTTTGAGACAGGGTCTCACTAATTGCTGAAGCTGGCCTCAAACTTGTGATTCTCTTGTTTCAGCCTTCTAAGTACCTGGAATTATAGGTGTGTGCCACTGTACCTGGACCAATTATATTAATATGAAAAAAAATAGACTTCAGTGCTAGAATTTTAGATATTCTGATAGGTGTCACGGCAGGATATCTTTGGAAAAGTTAAATCATGGGAAAATGTTAAATCATGGGAATTCTGCAGGTCTTGTGCACAAATAGTTACTTGAAGAGCCACTGATTGCTTCACCTGGACCCCTTMTCCTTTATGACTTCTCTAGAGTAAGCACCATTGAGCACTTGAACTTCCTGGGATCCTGGGTGTGTGGGGGGGAAGGGAGAACCTCCGCTTCCAACATTATGACCCTCTCTGAAATCAAAAGGGAGAAAAACTCCTTCCCTTCTCTCCCTAAATCTCTTTCTTCCTCTAATAGTCTCAGAATTTCTTTCCAGCACTGAGATGATAGATTTTTCTTCTGTGTTTTCATCTCGGTATCTTGTCATCAAAAATAGCTTGGTAAAGCAATGACTCTTGCAGAAGTCGATTGCAGAGTTCATAAAGCTTCCAAGAGAGTATGTTTGGAAGTAAGTGACGGCACTGCTCTGCAGAGCCTCAAGTGCACCTTCTAACACTTTCAAAATGATTGTGTTACCATGGGACCAGAATGGGAGCTAGAATTTTTGGAAACTGAAATCTCCAAGATTTATTGTCTTTAATATTTGATCATGGAGGCTGAAGATCCATTTGACAATTTAAAATTAACCCCCTGTTTAGAGTCTAGAATTATACTAGATTGATGGTTCCCTTATAAAATTACAATTATGGTGTGTTTTGGGTTATCAGAATTAGTGTTCCTCCTTATTACCTTAAAAGTGATCATAATGTTTGATCTTGAAATCAAGCACAGTTTTCACATTACAAAATATTGATTTTGTTTTTCAAGCACAGGAATAGGTTTCTCTTTAGGAATTTGAGGTTTTACAGTAGCCAAAGCTACTGGCAAATATAAGTGACAAACAACTAACTTCATACTGTTCCAAAGCTGAAGCCATGTCCAGCCTTCTGGAAAAGTGGCATCCATATTCCCAAGGGAGTTAGGAAGAGCCAAGAAAGGCTATGTTCATGTAAATCCATCAAAACTTCTGAATGACGAAAAGATCATTGACCACTTTGTTCATACTTATACCTATACACACAGGGAGGGCTCTGGGGACGATGTCACCTTCCCAGYATCAGAGGATGCCTGCTTCTGGGTAGTGAGGATGGATTTGGTGGAGATGTACATTATTCTTCATCCCTAGATCCCAGTAATAACCAACCATTATATTCGCAAAGGAACTTAGCAGGACCCGAGATACAAAACGTGTCCTTGGGACAAAGAAAAAACCCTTTCCCTCATAAGTTATACTGTGTTTTAATGATTATGTCAGAGACTACATTATTTCTGAAAATAGGATAATGATTAAAAAGGTTCATTGTCCTACAGAGTGGTAATAATGATTTGCACATCTGTTTAGTTTTATAAGATTATTATTAAATACACATCTTTCAGATGCCATTAGAGATGTTTTATAGGCATATCTATTGTCACTGCATTTGTCGAGACATTTGTTCTCATCTTTTATGTAGTAAAATATTCATTATTTGAACTGGCTCAGAGTAGTAAATATTCTGGTTAGTTAAATTTTGTAATAACTAGAATGATGGTATATATCAATATTCAGGTCATAAAAGTCTTCTACATCCCAGATACTGTGCTTCAAACTAGGGCACTAAAATCATTAGGCTATAGTCCTTTTCCTGATGGTATTTATATTGCAAATATGGTTCACCCATTTCTAAGTATTAAAATTATATATGCTGTAAACAATTGGATATTTTTTATGAGTTAGAAGAAATTTTAGGATCATTTTAATCTATTAATCCTCAGTATTTATATTAATCTTTGTTATGTGGCAAATTAACAAAAACGCTAATTAAGAGTTATGATTGATAGAATTTGAACAAAAATTACTGTATTCAACAGAAATTCTTTATGGAAACAGGAATCATCTACTTTCCTTTTCATTTGAAGAAATTCTTGTAATATTATTTTCAAATTTTATTTGTGAAAATGCTTGATAATTTGAAAGTAAAGCATTAGGGAGAGGGTTTTCTGAGATCAAAGTATCATGGAAATGGTGAGTACTTTTTTTGTTCTGATTAGATATGTTCTGAATTTTTGGCAGTATTGTCCAGCCCTTACTGACTTTATTAAATAAACAACTCACCTAAGGAAAAAGTGATCTTTTCTGATGAAGTATTCCACATTTTATTTCCAGGGACTGGAGACAGAGCCATACACCAAATGGTCAGGTTATTTGATTGGGTTGGTTCACTACCATGCATCCTTGTTAAAATAGACTTGAGCTCCAGAAATCCATTTTTGCCTTTTCTCTCTTCATTGGTAATGTTTATTCCTACAAAATAGATTCAAACATGGTTATCACTAACATTTTTTTTTGCATCAGCCATATAATGATACCAAGACATGGCCATATCATTTGAAGTTGGTTTTTGTTTGCTTTATTTTTTGAGATGGCATCTCACTATGTTGTCCATGCTGACATTTAACTCCTTGGCTTAAGCAGTTCTCCCAGTTAGGCCTCCCAAGTAGCTAGGATTATATGCTTGTGCCACCACACCCAGCTAATTTATGGTGATGCAGGGGCTTAATGTAGTCAAACTGTAGCTTCTATGAAATGATGCTCAATTTCAGCAGCCCTGGAATTAACCTGAAGTGTTTGCTTGTGCTTCTACAAAGTGTTGATCTGATACGCAGTCAAGGTATGAAATGCATTGATTAGTAGTGTTGCTTTGTTTGTGACTATGGGTCCAGGGTTTAGGGGCAGATTTTCCTAGCTCAGCAGCACTGTTTACTATAATGATGAGATTGATGATTTTCACCTGGACTGGGTTAGACTCTGGGAGGGTTCTGTTGTAGAGTCTGGTTATGTAGTAAGAATACACCTACATGATGTGTAAAATAAAAAAATAATCTCATCCACGACTCTACTTTGAGTTTCTTACTTCAGTGCTGTTCTACACCATTCTTTGGTGGTTCCTGCTCTGAGAAAGTGCTTCTGGCTGTGGCCCTTTCAGAGAAAGTACAGGGTAGGTCACATCTGAGTTCCAGGGACTCTTTGTAACTSTAGCAGATAACACATATTCTAATTGAGTTTCTATGTGTACCCTTTCCCTGAAATAAGCTGTAGATTTATAAGTATTTGCATTTTGCATCTTGCAAAGTCTTTAAAAATTGGATGTTGTTTGCCTCTATCAGTACAACTTCCAAACAGCACATATGGCCACAGGAAATTAATGTAAAATTATTCATCACCATAGGTCAGATCTTTCTGAACTCTCACAGTATTTTTGAATTTTTTTTTTTTTATTTTAGGGGATACCAGGGATTGAACTCAGGGGCACTCAACCACTGAACCACATCCCCAGCCCTTTTTTGTATTTTATTTAGAGACAGGGTCTCACTGAGTTGCTTAGTGCCTGGATTTTGTTGAGGCTGGCTTTGAACTCACCATCCTCCTCCCTCAGCCTCCAGAGCTGCTGGGATTACAGGCCTGCACCACAGCATCCAATTTTCACAGCTTCTTTACATTAAAACTTCTTCATGCTAGTTTTGTAGTTATTTCTTAACAAAGCAATAGTTAAATGTCATTGTGTACTGATAGAATTCTGACCACACCATTGAGCCTCCTGGTTAAGAGTAATGGGCACATCAAATCTGGGTGCTTTACCTATGCAGGGTTTATTTGATAGAACATATTTACAATAATCTTTAACAGATATTTTTAAGATTGCATCATATTATTGTTGTGGATGAATTGCCTAAAGCAAACTAATTAACACAACCAATAAACTATGCTTTAAGGGATCAATCTAATCATCCACATAAGCTTTTAATTTTAAAAGTTAAAACTAATCATGCAGCAAGAGTTTTGTGATTGAGTTATTGTTAAAAATATGTTAAGCTTAAAGGGAAAACGACCCAGAGGAAGGCCTGTTGTCCAGGCAGGGGATGTCTGAGATTGTTTTGACAGTGGCTGTCATGGTTACCACTTATGAAAAATACAGTTTTGTGCTGAACTTGTCTCAGTGTGTGTTTCTGCCCCAGGAACTTTTAATCCTCCTGGTGAACATATTTTTTGTTAAGGATCCAGTTCCTTTATATATACTTCCTCCAGAGCCCACAGCCCCAAATTCTGCCCCAGATCCTCACAAAATAAGTAAAAATTATTTGATTGATTTAAAGCAGTAGTGCTAAGTAAACTGAACACCTTGTATTGAAATAAGAAAGAAATGGAAGAACAGGTAGCAATGTTACAAAAGCTGAGAACTTATTAGTAATAACTATATGTTGAAGTAAGTGTTTTGCCCTCATGTAAGACAATTGCTTTCACTAACACTTAAATAAAACAGTGCTTTTATGTGGTTTGATGGAGCCAACTGTGTTTCCTTCATTCTGGGATATGTTACCTTCCACTCCATGCGAGAGTCAGATGAAGCATCAGAAAATGGCATCTGATGGGTAAGACAATGTTTTTCCTTTAGTGAAAATTAATTTTAAATGCCAAGATAACTTGGGCAATGAAAATTTCTAATGTTTTATTTTTTTCTTTTTAAAACCCATTTCCATTGATTTCCTTCTTTACCTTCTTCTTCACCTTGAAGAAACSTTCCATCTATAAACCATGTCAGGCTTGCTTTGGGAAACACATTCTTTAGTGAGCAGGTAAATGTTCTCTAGGACAGACATAAAGAAGATTATTTGCAAATTCAGAAGAAATTGGTATTCCTTACACATTCACCAATGTTCACACAAGACAAATTGGCAAAACGCGATTTTCTCTCTTTTTAACTGGGCAACCTACTTCTGAGATAGATTGTATTAAAATGTTTACTATACATATTGCTGTACTTCATTGCCTACAGAGATGTTATAYATTTAGGGCTAGGACCCTAGGTTGAATTTAAGTATCTAGGACTATACTAATGTTACCTGTCTGGTTTAAGGGTTTTAGAAAAGGGAAATCATAACTTTGTATGGGCAGAGTGATCCAGTACTAAATAAAAACTACAGAATAGAAGGAATAATAATATCAGGCAAAGGCCAGAAAAGAATATTGTTAGATTACAAGTGGGGAGAGATGCACATGTTCTGGTTTCCAAGCAATGTAAAAGATTATTTGCAGCAACAACTATAGCAACCATTAAAATAATTATACCACTTTTGACTTGTAAAGAATTTTTCTAATTATTGTTATTTTTTACTTTTTGTCTTGATTCTTTGCCTTATTATTGCCATTTGACAGATGGGAAGAATCAAGTCATCAAGAGGCTAAAGGAAGTGGAAAACAGTTAATGGGCACTATTGAGGAACTATGTCACCTCGATATCAGTCCAAGGTGTTTCCTGGTAAAACATGTCATATCCAAATAAGAAAAAAAAAAGGGGGGGGACAGATAGTTATGTTACAAAAGCATGGAACTTAGATGCTAGGTTAGTTGATTTTATTTTTAACACTGTGGATAATACTTTTTCTATAGCCTGGTGAAAATATTCAGTGATGTTTATTGAATCCCTGTTGTTTTATCTGATTCCCTAAAAAATTATAATTCCATTTATAATCAACCTTGAAGGATATGGAAAACAATAACCCCCAGGGAGAAAAGGAGGACAGTGGGTCCCAGGGAGAGAAGAAAAATAGTGGACTCTGAACTTTTACAATTTCCTGCTCTACAACTATTTTCCTGACTGCCCAACTGACACATTCTACTATGATTAAGTCTCTAATCATTAAGTCACACTGAACATTCTGCTATGATTAACTCTCACTAAACTCTATAAAAATCAGACCTCTACTATAACCAGTTGCCATTTTCTCCCCTGAAAATGTGCCATTCTGTTGCTTAATAAAGAAAGATTTGCTGATCCATTTCGGTTATTTTTGCTTTCAAACCTGTTTTCTACACAAGAGATGTGTATATTTTGTATATGCCTGGCCCAGGTTCTTAGTGCCCAAATATTCACAATTGAAAAATATAATAGTTAACCAGTAAAGAACAATTAACTGTGGGTGATGTTTGCTGTGCTACTCTATAAACTGGTGACTCCCRAAGAATTGGAAACTACAGAGCTGAGAAACTGTACTGAAGGGTGCTAGGGAACATTTTCCTGGTGGGATTCCATTGAGGTGCAGCTTACCATCCCTCAGTTTATCACTATCGAATCCCCAGGAAACAAGCAAACTTTCAAAGAGGGTTACATATCACCTAGACAACAGTGGTTGGCAACTGCTGTGACTTCCAATATTTTCACTCATTCAACACGTGTTTTTTCAAGGCAATGGGGACAGTCATGTGTGTGGCAATTATGTAGAAAATATGAAATTTTATCTTCTAAAAAATAAAAAGTAAAACCGGATCTCTGAAAATACACTCATTATCAAGTAAAGAAAATTCAGTTCATTTCATCCAATAAAATACCAAAAATGGATTTTTATTTCCAGWTAGTCCATAAAGGAGTAGAGAGACATAGGAAATGAAATTCTAAAAAAAATGTTGTAAAGATTTATATCAGGTTCAATGTGTTAACCATTCTCATGATTCATTTCTTCCACCTTCAGTTAACCCACAAAAAGATGATGATATAGTAATATCAGAAACAAGTGGGGGTTTCATTATTTTATAAAGGCAGTGGGCTCACTGAACAGATCTCTTATCAACTTCCTAAAACAGTTAAAAAGATCTGACTCTTACAGGGGCTTGGTTTGTGGCTCAGTGGTAGAGCACTTGCCTTTCACATGTGAGGCACTGGATTTGATCCTCAGCACYACATAAAAATAAATAAATAAAATAAAGATATTGTGTCCATCTACAACTAAAAAAAAWTTTTTTTTTGATTCATGTTTCTGAAACTACTGAGATTTCAGATATTCTATATGACCTCCAGACTCTGTGTTCCAAGATTTAGTTTAGGTTCGTGTCCTAAAACTCTTCCTGATCTCTAAAACTGAAAATTCAGAGACCAAAATGGTTCAACCAGAGGCCAAATGCCCTAGGAAATTTCAAATATATGTGTTTGTAGAGCAAGCAGAACTGTCTTTAATAGGGAACTTCCATTTGGCTTCAACGAGTAAGAACATGCTAAATCTGAAAATATATGAAGGAAATATGCATAAGAATGTACATGCACACAAATATTCATACAAACATGTATTCTGTGGCTGAGAAGTAAAAATCCCTTCACTAATTTATTGTGTACCTATTGCATTGAGAGATGAGTCATATAATTTTTTTCAATGCATTATTCTAACTATATATGGAATAAGTAAGCACTAGTACMAAGAATTATGTAGCAAATTCCCACCAAGTATTTGGACAGTTATACAGGAATACAGAAAAGAGTAAAATCTAAGAATTACTTAGAAAACAAAGTCACATTATGTGGACAGGGAAAGTATGGGCCTGGATTCTATTGGTGGTCTTTGTTGGAAAGTAGTGGGGAATTCCCCCACATAGACAGGTAGAGTGGGCTCCCTAGCTGAACATCTTGAGGACCATTTGTGAGTCAGGGGTGTTGCCCCAGAAGCTGGRAGGAGCTGGTATATGATTAGAGGACCATGAGATTGAGATGCCAAAAAAAAGCAAGTCCACATCTGACTGTAAGATTGATTATTTCTAAAGCCATGCTTGTAGTTCAAAGGAAAATTAGCTCCACCTCCTCATGTTGTATTTAACCCCAGCTTTGTGGTTTTTCACTAGAAAACACCTCCACTTCCTTGAGTGTGCAGCCCTCATTAATTATGTAAGGAATTTTTGTTTAAAACTAATAATATAAAGTTTATTTAACCGAAACTTCCCTAAATTCTCTACCATCCTTCCYCAAGACTGACCAGGCCAAGAAAGGAATAACAAAGATATCTTCATGATTTGTAGGGTCATCATGAACTTGTGACTACTTGTAAAATCAACAGATTGTCAACCACCAGATTTTACAACTTCCCCTTCAAGGCTACCAGAAAAAGCCTAGGCATCTGCAGCCATCAATCACTTCCTACTTTAAATTACCCTTCTGAAGATGAAAGGAGCCTGAAATGCAAGCTGAGTTAGGACACCAGTTCACCATCTTCATGGATTGGCTGGTTTATGGAATCAACCTTCTTCCTTGCTCCAACTGTTATGGTCTKATTTAAAAATGCTGATATCAGTTAATCAATAATTAATGTTATATATTATAGATTAAAAACATAGATCAATAAAATAGTAAGTRTAGCCATATTGACTCCATCTTTATGGTTCCCATATGAAACTATCATATGAACTGTTTCTGAGAAATGAAAATGAAAGCTGTCTTCTGCTGCAAGTTATTTTTCTGAACTGTGTACCCCACAAAATGTGCTCAACCCAGGATATGGTGGTCTTGGTAGTCTGCATAGCTTTGAAGTAGACTCTCACCCCTGCTAAACACCTGCTTGAACCCAGGATGTGGTTGTCTGAGTTGTTTTGCTAACTGATTTTTCAGCTTCTGGAGTCTGCTTGCTTGCTACCTGGAAAATTCTATAAGATGTGGTTTTCTTCCTTAAATATTGGAACCACAGATAGCTTGGCACACTTCTGTCAGAAGGCCATTTGGGCATGGCAGAAGCATCCCTGGTCAGATAATAGAGCTCTCTAATTTGTTTTAAATTTGGACTTGGAGTGTTTTCTGAGTGTCTCCGTGCAACACAACAACTGGTTCTTGATTCACTAAGCACCTTTCAAGCAGTGAGTAAAAGGACTTGGATTTGTAACATTTCCTCATTTCCACAGATTAAATACTGTGACTATTTAAATTAACCCCATTTACCTTACCAATATATGGACAGCACCTTTCCCAAAGATCTTTTCATCAGATCACTTTGAAAACATTTAGCTTTTTAATATAAAAAGAGATTATTTTTGTCTCTTCAAGTTTTCCTATTTGTTTACCAATTCTTCACTTCAATTTGGAATCTTTCCTCCACCCCTTTTTCCCCACTGGAAATTTAATTTGTAGTCCTTACATGTTTTGGGCTATATTTTTTCTATCTTTTCTTCTACAATGCAAATTTTATTTTATTTTTTATGGACATCCTAAACATATTCCTATCTCCTCTTGGTAGATCTTCCTTTCCAAATTTAAAATAAATGTGTGTGTGTGTGTGTATTTAAATGTGTATTAAATGTGTACTTAAATGTGTATTTTTGCTTAAGTGGTGACTATTCCTTTATTTCTGAGAGTAGAAGCCAGAAGCATTTTAGTTTTTCCAAGTCTAGTTACATAATACAATAAAAAACATTCCAAACTCTATTTCCCAACTTGCCATACTTCTTTGAATTTTAGGTTTTTTTTTTTTTCACTTAATCTTCCCTGTTCAGTAAGTTCTTTAACTTTTCTACTGACTGCATTTATAACAGCCATAGATGTCAAACCCAAAGTCAAAACTCATGATCTGAAAATTGGACAAAATATTTGGAATCACAGGTTCTTGAGGTATGTGGGTTTTGGCCCAAATTTCACCCCCACTCTTTTGCCTTAAATCTCTTTCTTTGCTTGAGAGGTCACATAATCTCCTCATGGGGAAATTGAACTAAAAGTTATAGGTGCTTGACAATCTGTTTTACTGCATGGCATTTGCTGGATACAGGTTTTGTGGTGGTGGAGGGGAAGAGAAAGGTTTGCCTTTGTGTCTAATTGCTGCAGAGAAACCTTATGAACAGAGA